GACAGAGATGTTAAAGATGCTTCCACAGCTGGGAACTTAGGTGCAGAGGGGGGCACAGGACTTCTGCTGAGGACATATGGACAGGTAGCATGGATGTCTGAACATGCTTTCCCGAGCGTGGAAACCTAAACCTCACCAAAAGTTCCATCTATGAGCAGCAAAGCAAGGAAAGGAGCAATTTAATCCCAGCCAGTACTGTAATTTCATATAGGTGCACAGCATTACACAAGCACACTTCCTGCTGTATGGTAAAGGATATAACTATACCACTCAGCTATATGTATATGGGCTAAGGCTGACTTTCTTAAGCATGTCTACAGCCTGCTACACCCAAGGCAACGTGTATGTGGCCCTCTTGCAAGTCCACATCTCCACAGGGTCTGGAAAGAAAGATCTTTTGTGAATGATGCTTGTATGTAAGGAACATCCAGCCGTCCTTTCCTAAAGGAAGTTTATACCCAGCATTGCACCAGTCCAGGAGAGGAGTGACAAACACACAGAATCCAGCCGTGGGCCTAAATTATCGTGAGGGTGGTGTGGTTAAATCCTGTCTTACCACGCACAGCTCAAGTGCTTGTCTCTGCAAACACAGCAAGGAGATAAGCTTCCCAGGGAGAATGAGCCTGGCTTATCATTAGGCTCGTGAAGAACAGAAGTGGGCTGCTGAGGAATGCTGTGGATTCATCCTCATCAGAGGTCTTAAGAACAAAGAGTTGTTCCTGCCTTTGGGTAGAAGAGTAGATCAAACTGACTCCTGAGATCCCTTCCAGCCCTATGACTGCTGTTGAATGAGATGCAGGTTGCCATCCACAGAAGAGTTTTGTTTTTTTTAAAAGCTGAGACATCTGAAACAGGTCTGAATGCAGGCCCTGGAGAAAAACATCCTCTTATTACCTCCACAGATCTTTCACTATCTCAAACCCAGGACAGAAGAAACAATATTTCAGATTTAGAATACCTGGCTGTAAGACAGGACTACATATATCAGCATCACAGAATTCCCACCGTCCAGAAGGACTACCGTGGAGTCCCTGAAGGAGAGGGTTCTGATAAAGGAAAGATCAGAGCACTGATGCCTGTGGTCTTAGACAGGAGCTTCAACCTACCTCTGGGGACCTCACGTGGACCTTCAGTCTGCAGGAACTCAGACCATTTCCCACAGCCTTTGGAGGTGGTGACGGGATGTTGTTATGAACTGACAGTCCAGGATGTAACCGTCCCCTTCCAGGAATAAAGGCCACTTCTGTGCTTCCCTCGTTTCTTAAACAAACAACAAATACAGAACATTTTATTAACAAAACAAAATAAATGCAACTTAAATTTGCAGAACTTCCAAGCCCATGGTTCTTTCTCCGGGATAATCTCACTTCAGCCCACGTAGCCTGTATCTGTCTAGCTGGACATCCACCAGCTGGGTTGCTTCTTTGAACCTCAGTTCTGTGGCAGAACTCTGCTGAGCAATGATAGAGGATATTCATGAGGGTCAGAACGTTGGGAAGGTCTGGGTTACACTTCAGGATGATCCATATATTCAAGATTTCCTTACACGATCACCTACCAGGACCATCTTGAAGCATCATTTAAGACTGGTATGACATGAAGGGGTTTTGCCTAAAACTCAACAGCACCATGTTGATGACAGGAAATACGTTACATGCCTACCTGAATTTGGCTTTTGCAATTATTTTTCTGGCCTCTTCATGTGTGCTGCCCACCAAAGAATCTTTATTGATAGCGATTAGTTGGTCACCAGGTCGGAGCCGACCATCCTAAACAAAGAAGGAGAAAGTCAGAGCATTGGGAAGAAATGTCCCGCTGCAACACAAGTCCTCACTAGTCCATGCAATGCATTATTCATCTATTCTTAGAAAAGCTGCTTCAGAACAGCTACAGCTTCTAGGAGAGGTCCCCACTGCAAAGTCATGGAGGGTCTCCACACTGACTTACCTTGTAACAGTCACCATCTGGCATAAGCTCTTGAACATATATCATGGGGCCATCAGGCCTGTTAGATCCACCACTGATTGTCAGCCCTAAGCCGGAGGATTTTGCTATAGAAATGCTCTGGATTCCTGATTCAATGGAGTAGCTGCAAGGGAGAGATGTTAGCAGGTGACTCAAGGTGATCTGGTTTATTTTCCCACGTCGCTGAACAACCTCTGACTAGCCTTCTTTCCGTGCATGATCCTTCTAACTTCTCCCAACCTTTTCTGCCCCTGCATCTTTCCTTCCACCCAACCTTGGGAAGGAGAGGTGAGGACTCCAGTTCCTCAGGAGGCAGTGTTCCGCATTATGAAGGTGACTGGTTTACACACTGCCAAATGCTGGGGAATACCCATTTGCATTTAGACAATAAAGAGAGAAGAAACTAAAGGTTTAACCAGGATATATTTGGCACTCTTCGTTTTTATAGCCGAAAGCATACAAAGGATCAATGAGATTATTGTTCGAATTCAGCAACTCTGGCCTACATCCTCAGACAGCAATTTACGGATTGGTCAACTATTAAGCAGCCCTTAGCAAACATCCAAGTGAAGCTCAGGATACACAGCCGGCTGTGTCTTAACCAAGATTTGGACTCAAAACCTTGCAAGATACCCTAAGAAATGAGCCCTTAATAGCAATACCCCCCACCAGTGTGATTTACTTCTGTGGCAGTGGAGCAGATGGCTCACCCAGTCAAGGACGTACTGCACATGGAACAGTAACAAGGTTGGACCCTACCCTCAAAGTGCTGCCTGCTCGACAGGAGCCAACAGGCCACCAAAACCAGGACATGGCAGGCAGCTCCATGCAGAGTGGGAGAGACAGCTCTGGGCAGTGTTTGTGGGAGCACAGATTTCACTGACCACTTACGGGCAGGCAGGCAGCATTGCAACAGGGAGGTTTTGGGGCAGGATTCCTGGGATCTAAGGGTCAGCTACCCTTTTCCTCCTAATGGGCTGGGTGGAGCTGGCTGTTCTCCTTTTCAGTTTATTTCCACAGCAGCCACTCACCAAACTGTCTGCAGTTTCTGGTCCTCCTCACGTTACCTGATAACTTAAGACGCAATGACAGCTGTGTATCCTATGCCTCTCACAGTGATGCCAGCGCATAATTGATGCCATCCCCAGTGACAGAGCAGCATGTGGCCAGCACCCCTCCAAACCGGCAGCAGACCCCCAAGAGATCCATGTTGTGTGGGTGAAAGGGACTGCATTCGTGTAGCATGAATTTCAGTCTTACGAAAAACTATTGCTCTAAGAAATTGTTTTTTAAGGGCAGGTAGTGACAGGACAAGGGGTAACAGGTTTAAATTGAAAGCAGGTAGATTTAGATTAGATATCGGGGAAAAATTCTTCCTAGAGAGGGTGGTGAGGCACTGGAACAGGTTGCCCAGAGCAGCTGTGGATGCCCCATCCCTGGAAGTGTTCAAGGCCAGGCTGGATGAGGCTTTGAGCAACCTGGTCTAGTGCAAGGTGTCCCTGTCCATGGCAGGGGGTTGGAACTGGATGGTCTTTAAGGCCTCTTCCCACCCAAACCACTCTGTGATTCTATGAAATACTTTAGGGAAATTATGCTATGATATGTAGCATCAAAACCCTCAGTTCAGATCAAAATATCAGCTATTATCTGTGGCAAGACTGAATTGTATCTGGGTCCCATTGCTCAGTGGGGTGGCAGGACCTCAGAAAACACTGCAGTGAGAGGTCACAGCCTGGGGACAACCTGCAGTGAGAGGAAAGGGTGGGTAAGGGATGGCAGCTGCATGCACAAAAAGACCCTTCTGCACATGTCCCGAGTGACATCTCTGCAGCTGACCAAGGCTCTGCGCAGTCTGTGATTTCAAATGGCTCATGCTGCTCCCAGGAGGAGACCAGTGGGGCCTGACAGTGGCATGGAGACAAGCGGGACACGGCACAGCATAGCAATGCTGAGCAAAGAAGCCACCAAGCAGGTCCCCTCTAGCCCATATCGCTGCCTGGAGTGGGTTAACAGCAGAGCGGGGATGTCTAGTTGGTCCAAACCAGCTGCCAAGTAGATGAACCGGCCTCTCCTCTGTAAGGGTCTCTCCCTCCATGCAAGCAGCTTAAACTTCTGGTGCCAAATATTTTTCCTCTGCAAATCCCTAATAAAGAGCTGGTATTTAGCAAGAGGATTTACTGGTTCTGCAGTGAGGTCTGATTCTCTTTACCAGTGACTTGGCTTGTTTATACTGGCAAAGAAATAGAAGCTGCAAGCCCTGGGGACGAATGGTCCCAATTCCACGATTGTTAACGCACTCCAAGCTGTCCCTCTTGAGAAGGGCAACCCCGAGCACCCTGGAGACAAGACTCCGTGGAAAAACAAGCTCTGCCTGTCCAAAACTCTGACCCTGCGAAATATGAAAGGGGCAGATGACCACATGAAAACACATGCTCCAGGAGATGCTCCGGAGACAAAAGGACATGGTGTCTGTAGGCAACCGCTGTTGACACCAAAGCGAAGGGTGTTGGGAGTGTTTGCACTGAGAGGGCAGTGTTTGTGCTGTTGTTGAACGATGCCAACATGCCAGAAGCAGGGCAGTAGAAAACAAGGTCCTGAAACGCCTTCCAAAAGCACCACTGGCCTTGCAGAAACACTCCCTCTTGATGCGGTTTGTAAAGGTGATGTGCAGGGCCCTCTCAGTGGGCTATAAGCCACGGCTTATCCCTGGGGTTTCAGAGGAGAGGAGGAGGAATGGTTGCATTGTTAACCGTACTGCAGACATATTGACTGCCTCGACACAGTAGCTTTTCAGCTCTTGGGCACAGGCTTCCCCAAGAACACTCAAGACGCCACCATGAGAAGGACTTCCAGAAGATGCTGTGGTCTCCTCACCTTCGTAGCGACACAATGGTGTAGAAGACATAAGTGTGAACAAAGCAGTTCTTCAAACACGGGAAGTATTTACCAGATCTACCCCTAAGAAGGTGTTAGACATCTTCATGACTGACCAAGGAACAGGGTTTGTGGACCGGCCCTGTGCAACCTGTACGTACTGTGCGTGAGAGGCGTGTGCCGGGTTTCCGATGAAGGGGCCGTGGGAATTGGCGGGGCTCAGCAGCAGCGGGCTCTGAGAGCGCGAGGAGGAGCCTGAGGATGTACTTTCCAGGTATCGACCTGAACAGCAAAGTCAGAGTTAGTCCAGGGAACACAAATACTCCAGCATCATCCTCTTCCCTTGCTCTACCACTGAGAGATGACATTGTTTTCCTAGCTTTTTTGGAAAAACCACATGGTAGTTAAAGACACCAGTATATTGCTCTTGGAGAGAAAATGGGTACTGCTGGGGTTACCTGCCCAGCATGTCAGTTAAGCAGCCTGGGGATCTGAGAAGCTGTTATGACCCCAATTCAATTCTCCCTTGCTCACCCCAAGGAGGCTAGCTCGCTGCCTCGCTTTGTGCTCGCTCTGTGCAGGCAGGACCGACCATGCCTCCTGCCCTGCGCCCAGGGATGTACTAAAGGCTCGTGATAAGGATGAGCAGGAGTTCTCTTTGTTAAAACCTCCACCCAAACACCTACACAAATCCAATCAAAATTCCTTCAAAATAACATTGGGATTAAGAAAACTCTCTCAGCAGAGAGAGAGGCTTTTGGTTTCCCCCCAAAGGCATGCTGAGCTACTCACTGCCGCCGTGCAGGATTGGTGAACTACGTGCTGAGCCTGTATTGCTCTGGGAGCCGAACTTCTCCAGAAGCTCAGAGAACTCTCTCCTGGTAACAAAAACACAGTATAGTTGGCTGCTGCTTAAAACTATTCCCCACCTGATTATATGACAATGGTGCCTCTGATGGCAGAGACTCACTACCAAGGCTATAGGGCTGATGCCCTCCAGCGATGGGGACCCCACAGAGCTTTCTCACACACAAAGGTATAATCCTCTTGGGTTTGGGAGGTTGTGCAAGACTTAGGGTCGATAACCAATCTCATGGCAGTGCAGCTTTCCTGCAATGGGCTGGAACTTTGGTGTGCTCCTTGCCGGCCCTGGAAAGTGTTCATGGTGAACATGGGCAAGAGGAGCTGGAAAGGGACATATGGATGGGCACTGGTGCTGTGGACTGTCCTTCCTGAGAGAGGGCAGATGAACACAGGAGCCCTGCCTTGCACCCCACTGCTTGGGCATTCCCAGGAATCCACTGGAATAATTTCACCTCCATCTATAAGGCTCAGAAGTTTTGCTAACACACCACACAAATTAAACAGACTGTCAGAAGGAGCTGTAACTATGCAAACATGAAACAAAAATGCTTGGCCTATTTGTGACTCCTTCCAGAATAGTTAAATGTAGATTATTCTCTGTTTTTAATCCTTTCCTAAGCAGAAAGCAGATCCTGCCCGCTCTTGCTGGGCTAAAGATGTGACATAGCTTCTGGAGCACATGCAAAAGCAGCAGCCCAGTCTCTGAATCCATCCATGGTGACATCCTCCATGAACATCACAGGATAAACTCTGGGACCATACGACCTTAACAAAACCCTGCACGTGTACAGCATGCTGGGGCAGTGCAGGCTTCTGTACTCTTCCCAGCAGCTCATGGCTGAAGGTGCTGAACCAGCATGCACATGCTATGTTTACAGATACCATGACCAGGAGGGCTTGTTGGTGAATTCAAGAACAGGGAGGAATGGCAAGCCAAAAACATCTAGCATGATCCCTCTGTCTTGAGGTAACCCCCCTGCTTCTTATATTACTTCTTGGCAAAGCAACCTCATCCACAACATCCCCTGGAAAGCTGGCTCGGTGCCCAAGTGCCTTTGTTAATGCTTCTCTTCCAGGTTAAGTTTGACCACCATATAACTACCCAAGTGTGTTGAGTCCTTGATGAGCTGTAACTGCCTGTACACAACAGGTGAATTGCTTTGTGACCTTCCTTTTGCAAAGTGTAACATGTTGCGTTTTCGAACCACCATTAACCATGTTTACTAGCTCCCGCACCATTTCTGTAATTCGTCTTCGAGCTGCCATGAGCCTCTCGCATCCTTTGGCCGAGGAGGCACAGGACGGGGATGCCATGTTCAAGCATCAGCCTCCTGTGCCCATCCCTGCCACATTGGCTCTTGGCTCCCAGGAGCATGCTGACCCTCTGTGACTTTGTGATCTTCTCCCTTCATAACCCAACACCACCTGGTCAGTCCAACCTTTTGGCAGAGAGAAGAGCCTCAAGGATGACTAATTTCTTACAGGTGTCATTAAATAAGCAGCCAGGCAATAGGGAGAGACCCTGAACGCATTGTTTCTGTGGCCACGGTAACATTAGATGTCCCCTTTGAAGGCATGAGGGAATCCCCATAGCCTTCTTGATGCTACAGCCACAGGCAAAGCCTGCTTATGAGTGACTAGCTCTCACACTTGACAGTCAGACAAGCCCAAGACATTAATCTGTAGGAAACTAGCCACAGCAAAGTTTCCTCAGTGAGGAGACTCCTTGCACACAAGCAGACATTGTGTCATCTGCATGCTTTACCAGGACAGATGTTATACATTATTGGCTAGATGAGAGTCAACAATATTAAATGATGAATGAATCATCAGCTCCTTGGGTTCTTGCTGGAAATGCGCTCAGTAATTTACATGTCCCCATTAACAACCAGCTCATCAACAAACTTCAAAGACCAATGCCTGCCTTATCTTATATTGCCATCAAATGTATGCCTCATTCATTCCGTTTAATGCTAATTTTAAATCCGAGTGTCACACAATACTTAGTGGAATGCCTTGGTGAATCCCAATACTTTGCATCAACATGACTGTCTTTATCAACTGAACCCACAGCCTTAAAAAAAGGCAACTACTTTGGTCAGAAACCCCACCTTCCGCAAAACGGTTTTAACAGGCAGTTTCAAAGCCTTAGAGACTGTAGCAGCACCAAGAAAGCAGAAGGACAACTTAGTTCCTACAGCAGTAGGACAGCAGTTTGCTGTTCTCTGGTTCCCTAGATTACGCCTTGGATGGATCTTACCTGAGCATAATTTTTCCAACTTTCCAGTTGAGCCTCTGTATTTCTATGGGTGATTCACACTCTCATTGCACGGGTAACTAACTCATGGACTGGTGGCTTTATCCCTCCCTGACCTATTGCAGTGGCAGGTCTAACATGCTGAAAGCTAACGTATTATTTCCAGTGGTTACCAAGCCATCACAGCTGGAGTTTTGTTTTGGGCTGGGTGTTTCTGTGGTCATCTATAGTTACATTTTTCTCAGATAATAATCCATCAGAGAACAGAACAGGCTATGATTTTAAAACAATGGCGAGAAAACTCTTAGTCAATGCAAATGCAACTAGTCCAGCAGCTCTTACGCCCTTTAAACCCTGCTAAACAATGCAAACCCAATCACCAATCCACGCTGTCGAACTCTGCAAGGGCACGCATGACCTGAACATTCTTTGCTGTTTATTTCATGTTGTTAAGTTCATCCACAAAGGAGTATTTATCATTATTTGCTCAGGAGCCTGAACAACGAGCTCTGAGCCCAGGGTTGCCTTGCAAGCCCGGGTCCAGCCCAGCCGTTTGCTGTAGGGACAATGTGACTAAAAGCTACGTCACACGCCACCGTCCTGGCTCCTGCTTTGTTGGTCGGTCCTGCAAACCCCGCTTCCACCAGGGACGTAAACACCTGAGTAACTTGAAACACACGCTTATCCCAGCAGCAAAGCAATACACTTTCTAGTGTCAATCTCCTGAGAATTAATTTTGTGCTCAGTGCGGTATTTGAAGGAATTTGCAAGCAGGCAAACGGTGCCCAAATGTTACCAATTAACAAACAAGTACACTGAATGAATGCCAGCAAGTCTTGTTTTGTGCTTTCAGACACTAAGAGACTTCAGAAGATGTCTTTAATAATTAAAATTTGATCCTTACTAAAACATTTTTGATTGTCAGGTGTCTGCAGGGCTAAAATGCCCAGCTTTATTTAAAAAAAAAATAATGGGGTTGTATTAGGTTGAAAATTCATTCTAAAAGTCCCTTCTCCCTTTTTCATTAAGATACAGATACTTGAGGTTTGGAAGATCCCTGTAACAGAGCTTGGACCTGCGCAGCCTTCAGCCAGCCCCACAGCGTGGAGTGGGATAACAGGTTTTGCCAGCAGCAGCCAGCTGTAGGCCGACCTTGCTGCAGAGATTAAGCAGCAGGGGGTCAGTCTTCCTGCAGAATATTGTTGGTTTATCTCGTAATACCTTTTTGTCCTGCCCTTTTGTTCTTGGGAGAACAAAGGGGTGAATGCTACATCAAAGGTTATGCGAAAGAACAGTGTCTGGAAACCTCAGCTCTGCTCCACAGCTGGAGGAGAAAGAGGAGCTGGTGACACCAGCTGAATTAATAGCTCATTTTAAGAAACCAAAGCCTGCAGGTCAGTGGGAACTGTGAACCCAAAGCACTGCAAAAGCATCACAAAAACAGATCGTCTCCTAGCCAGCTCACTGCAGCAGCATTTCCATCGCTGTCCCAGTGGGATGATGCTCTGGAGCAGCAGCTCCAGCAGGCAGCCCAACTCCATCCCAGCACAGGGCTGCAGAACTGGCACATCCTGAGCTGTGAGCCCTCCTGCACTGGCTGTGCCGGGCAGCACATCACACCGCTGCTTGGTTTGCTTCCTCATTAATGCCTACGAAGCGGGGATGTGCAGAGGTGTCTCTCGGCTTCTGTGTGAAAGGATGCGAGTTTTTCCCCAGTGACCCTGGGACACCCCCGGCTTGCAGGAGTCAGCCCCAGCACTGCCTTCCAGTTTGGCACCGCATGCTCAGACAAACCATGGGCTGAGCTGTCCCTATCACACACGACACTCACAGGAAGAAAGGAATAACCTTACATTTGCACCAATATCCATCGCTGGTTATGCATTTGGAGAAAAGCAGACTGCCTTCCTTCCTGCTTGTTGTGCAAGCCCTGTTAATACAACCACCCGTGTTCACCGCGATGACTGTGCATATCACGCGAGATGCAATGTACTTAGCATTTTATCATGCAGGTACTAGGAGGGACAGCACAAACTGGCTTTCTCGCAGTGATAAACCTGAAAGACCAGGATGATATCTGTGCAGCACATGGAAACAAGGAATTACTGTAACTTTCAGGCTTAGAATGAATAAACAGTAATTATGCGTACACAATAAAATGATCCTCATTAGCTAAAGATGAGCACAGACGAAAAGCAGATCCAACCATCATCCAAACCCAGCATGTCCAGCTCTAAATCTGAATTTTTTGCTTTAAGCCCTAGCATTACTGCTGCTCTCTGTAGCATGTCTGATGCGACAGGCTTAAAACATGCATCTTATACACGCCAGGACTGAGTTCCATTAAGAGCACAGGTAATTTGGGCCTATAATTAACTCCAGGGACAAATAATAGCGCTTATGAGTCAAATTCACCCAACGGCAACCACAACAAAATGCTACTCAGCTGAGTCATTGGGAAAATTGGCAGACGAGTTGAATCGTCTCCCAAACCCAGGGCGATTACGTTTCCTCCTCCAGCGTGCATTGTGCGATCAGGCTTTATGAAGACCTGCGTGCGAGTATCCGCAAACACTCTGAATTACACTCCTCCCCATGTCATTCTCTCGTCTTTCACGTCGCAGGAGCCACTTCGCTGGGCAGTGGGGAGGTGCAAGGCTGCCCTCAGCTCGTGGGAGTTCACGGCACAGCATCTCCATGGGTATCAGCTCAGAGCTGACAGCCCCTGGGAAGTCAGAGAGCCCATTTCAACCCAGGCAGAGGGCTGTCTGCTCACCCACGCTCAAGGACAGGCTTAGAAGATAATAGGGCATCAATAAAATAAAGACAAAACTAAGGAAAAAAATAGTAGAAAGCAGAAAAATCCTTCCCCAGCTCTTAATCCTGAAGATATGTATTCATGTATTAAACAGTTTGTGAGATGATTATGTAAGTGAAATCTCTGCAAATCTTTTAAAAATATATATATAAATAAACTGATTATTTCCCTGCTCTCCCGCCGGCTAACCTTTTGCAGATTTAAGAGACAACCAACAGCAAACGGAGGCCAAATAAATTGCTTAAAGTTTCCTTGCCCTCCCAGTCTCTCTCAGTCGGTTTTCAAGCAGCTCCTCCACGGGGCGACCGGGGACTGCCGACAGATGCCTGCAGGAGCTGGAGCTGCTGACAGACCCACGCGTGCGTACGTTTTGAGAGACATCTGCTGCAGTTTAAGATATTAGGAGGCACACTGAGATGCCTGAACAGCTTGGAAGAGATCAGCATGGGTGAAGGCAGAAAACCTGCTTTGGGGGCTCTGGTTGAGAAATAGAGCACTGAAGGACTTGCAGTTAATATAATAATTTGAGGTTTATTTTCACTGGAAGAGTGGCATAGAGGTAGGTAACAAGCAGACCGTCATTAATAGCAAATAATTCTTCCGCCAGAATATTACTTTGTCAAAATTGGTCTTATCCCTGTCATTACAGCACTCTCACTGTTCTGCTAAGGCAGTAATGCTCCAGAGCTGCTGATGGATAAGGAGTGAAACCATCAGCTCTGACGCTAACGGGATGCGGGTACGTTGAGCAAATGACTCTGTGATTTTCAGTCACCCACGTGCAGTGCAAGGCCTCAGTGCCACTAGCCTGCCTGCCCACGACCGCACTCTGCTCAAACCCACTCGCATTTTGGTGGTTCCTGGTGCACCTCAAGCTTCCAGACCCGTGTTTCTATTCAAGAGGGAGAGGATGCTCCAGCACATTGCACCAGATCTCCCAGGGGATGGGATCGAGTGACCATACTAATCCCATACCTCAGTTTCCGCAACCCTGCTCTCTCTCATGACACCAGCATTGTCCCACACAGCTTCAATCCAGCCAAGACAAAACTGAACCCTTTCCTTCTCCTTTTGGGTCCTCCAAGCCTCTCTAGAGAAAGCAAGGTTTTCCAGGGACCAGTGAGGGAAGAGGTTTGCAGGAATCCTCTGGGGAAGGAAGACCTTATGTCAACATGTCTAACTGGAAAGGGAAGATCCTGCTGTCCCTCTATGACTTCATCCAAAACTGTGCAGGACATGATAAGTCAGAGCAGCTCAGCACCAGGCATCAGAGCTGGAGGAGCTCATGCCACCCTAGAGCTGAGGCTGCAGCTGCCCTGGCCCTTGCTGGGGAGACACCTGCTCAATGCTGGGATGCCCCATGGACCTGGCACAGGCTGGGCTGGACCCAGGTCTGCATCTGGGAACCACCAGCAATGCTTCCCTTCCTCAGGTCCAGCATGTTCTCACCGGTGTACAGTTATCAGAGACCCTGGGCCACCTCCATCTTCACCGTGGGCTTTAAGCCCAGGTAACTCAAAGGCAGCCCAGCTCTGGTGCTGATGAGTGCCGTGATCCCCTGTCCTAGCGTGAGATGACACCCCTTACCTGGCATCGTCATCGCGGGCTATAAGAAGGCGCATGTGGCTGGTGGCTGATGCTGTCCTCAGGATGTCCACGGCCCTGTGAGACAAGGACCACAACACATGGTCAACACCAGCTAGCAGCGATGCTCCACCGAGCTTGCCTGGCTGCATCTCAAAGCTCATGGCAAACCGGGCAGAAACACATGGTGTGGGCAAACGCCATCAGCCAAGTGCCAATTTTTAGCTGGATGACCAGAGAGCAGCCAAGTCACAGCCTTATTTTCCCACTTCTGCACTAAATTAGAAGTCCCCAACAACAAAGCAGGCCCAGAAGATACACATGGCAGTGAGCAAATACCTCCCAGCACATATTCTCCCTCAGGAAGTTTCCATCTCAGGGAGAACCACTTTCTGGTTCATGATACATGCATCCCTGTGGGAGTCAGGGCAGTGTGCTGGGGGCCAAACACAGCCTCCCTGCATCTGCAGATTCCTCAGGGACCTTCTTCATCAAACCAGCCGCTCTGGGGGTTTGGGAGCCGGAGAAGCTCCTTGTGCTGCTTCCCAAGCATCCACCCAGCCTAAGCATGCCGTGCAGAAGTGCAAGGCAGCAGTGGGCTAACACCATGTTTAATGGAAACGGGGTGCCCTAAAAGTGTGGTGCTTCTCCGGAACAGTTGATTATTTTCTTGGCAGGGAGCTGAGGGGCTGGATTGCAGCTCCAGAGGGAATCCCCCGCACACAGCAGAGCCGTCGGACTTAGGCACTGGCTAATCTCCTGCACTGGGAGCTGCGGGGTTTGCTGGGAGCTGCAGCAGATGGAGTGGGAGTGCCAGGAGCTGTTAAAAAATCCCCAGCATTTTGTGGAAATGTCTGAATATCTCACAATTATGGTTTGAGTTCACTGGTCTATTCTTATACAGAAACTTTCTGTTTGATAATTCCCAAGCTGGCTCTCAGGAGCAGCGTGACTGTTTCACAGCACAAAGTGATGCCCTGGAGTCCCCTGCACAACCAGCAGTCTAAACCACAGAAT